TTTTTGGGTGGTCTCTGAGTGGTTGTTTTTTGGGTGGTCTCTGAGTGTGGTTGTTTTTTTTGCAGACATTTCATGACCCAGTTGGGTAGCATCATCAGTGCTACAAGAAAACAACCAAGCTCACATAGCACCAAGGACTCCATGAACCTAGAAAGCCACGTGTTAACAGAACAGCAGGATTGGAAGGGACCATGGAGGTTTTGTAGTCCAATCTTCTGCTCAAGTAGGAGATCTTATACCATTCTGGACAAATGGATGTCTCATCTCTTCTTGAAAACCTCCAGTATTGGAGCACTCACAGCTTCTGGAGGCAAGGAGTCCCACTGGTGAATTGTCCTCATTGTTAGGAAGTTTTTCATTAATTCCTGGTTGCTTCTCTCTTCCATCCATTGCTTCTTATCCTGCCTTCTGGTGCTTTGGAGCAGGGGTCTCCAACCTGGGCCACTTTAAGGCTTGTGGGCATCCATTCCCAAAATTCGTCAGCCAGCTGGTTGAGGAATTCTGGGAGTTGAAGTCCACAAGTCTCAAAGGGGCCAAGGTTGGGGACATCTGCTTTGACCCCCCCCCCTTCCCCTTCTCTGTGGCAGTCCCTCAAATACTGGAAGATGCTATCTCATAATCCCTAGTAGTTCTGTGTAAAAATATAAACAAACTGAAAACTTTCCACCTTTTACTCTTAAAATATTAGATCTTGGGTCATCCCATCCAAATGACTGGCAATATATTCTTTTCATTCATTCTGAAAAAAGTTTTTTCCCCCGAAAGTGCGGAAAATTCCTTTATGGGAAGGTCCCAATAAATTGTGACGAGCTTTATCCCAGGTTGGAAAGTGGGGAGTCTTAAGTTACAGGAAGGCAGAAAAAAAATATTCCTGAAAATAAGAAAAAAAAAAGTGGACATTGGGAATCACTTTCTGAAAGCATAATGTTGCAGGATGGGATATACAGGTAGTCCTCGACTTACGACTTATAAAATTTTGAGCCCCAAATTTCTGTTGCTAAGGGAGACACTGAAGTGAGTTTTTGCCCCCGTTTTACAATCTTCCTTGCATAGTTGTTAAGCGAATCATGCAGTTGTTAACGTCAGACACACGGTTGTTAAGTAAATCTGGCCTCCCCCTTGAGTTTGGTTGCTGGGCGGTCGCAAAAGGGGATCACCCAGCAACGGTCATAAATACAAGCCAGTTGCCAAGGCTCTTGTTGTGAAGCCGAGGATGACCTGTAGCTGGCATGACTATTACCTACGTGAGGTTGCAATTTCGTAGATTTTATTCCCACTACTTTTATTTAGTTTTTAGTTTACTTTATTGTCATTGCACCTGATACAACGAAATCAAACAGTGCACATCGTGACCATGACAATAAACACAAACACACATCCTTCCCCCTCCGCACATTGAATTGAAAAACCCCAGCACCGCACCAACACTGTACAGTGGAATTCAATAGAGTTACTGCCCTGGGACAGAAGCTGTTTTTCAGCCTATTTGTCCTTGTTTTTATTCTCCTGTACCGTCTGCCAGATGGTAATAGTTAAAAAAAAAAAAAGAGGGTGCTCAGGATGAGATCGATCTTTGGGGATGTTTGGAACTTTCTTAAGGCAGCGGGAGCTCTAAAGCTCTTCCAAAGAGGGGAGAGGGCAACCCATGATCCTCTGGGCAATGACATTCACCCTCTGGAGTGCTGTCCTATCTTCCTCTGTGCAATTGGCAAACCACACAGAGGTGCAGTGAGTTAAGATACTCTCTCTGGTGCAGCGGTAGAAGGTCCCCAGCAGTTTTCCATTCGGTGGTTGTTTCCTGAGAAGCCTCCGGTAGTAGAATCTCTGCTGGGCCCTTTTGACCAGGGCTGCAATGGGAGCCCCCCAGGTCAGGTCCTCTTTTAGGGTAACACCCAGAAACTTAAAACTGGCCACTTGCTCCACTCGGTCTCCCTCGATAAGCAGGGTTGGAGGTCTGATCTGTTCCTTCTATATAGTCCATTATCAGTTCCTTGGTCTTATTGGTGATGAGGACCAAGTTATGGTCTCCACACCACGAAAGCAACCATTGGTCCATCTCATCTCGGTAGGCAGATTCATCCCCTCCCGGAGAAGAGTCCCACCACTGTTGTATCCTCTGCAAATTTAGCAATTTAGCGTGAGTGGGGAATCTGCTTCTAATCCGCTGGATCCTTCCTTTCCCTTCGGCGAGGCCGGTCTCAGGGTGTGTAGCCGCCGCCTATCGGAAGATCCACCTCTTTGATGTGGAGCTGGAAGGGAGGGTCTCCCTGAAGGAAAGCGCCTTCACCAACCCCGGTTCAGAGATGGCGCCGCCTGTGCCCACCCCAGCGGGAAAGGTACGGGGTTCAAAACGGGACTTGTGGCCGGTCGGAGGAGGAGGAGGAGGAATCAGAGGAGGAGGAGGAGGAGGAATCATCAGGAGACCCGAGGGTCCTCCCTGTTTAGATTTTGCTTCGGCTGTCTCTAGTACTACAATAAATATATTCTTGGGTGAGGGAAAAAAAAAAAGAAAAGGCTGTAACTAAACTACCGGAGCTTTCGCCCGCGAATATACTTAACCGGAGAACATGACGGATGACACCCAGCCCGTGAAGGTGCTCAATTGGAGAATCTGGTTTATGAGACACCCGGGGAGGAGCGGGGGGGGGGGAACAGGGTCACAGCAGACTGTGAATTAGGTATGCCAGAGTTGGCTTCATACAGGGCGGGACTAGTATGTCGCCTCTAATAAATCCTTTGAAGTTTTTTGAAGTTTGGCTCGAGGATCATGACTTAATGAGGGCGATTGATGGAATCCTGACAGCAGCTGGCAGAGAAAGAGAGAGAGAGAGAAAGAGAGGTGGGGCCTGGGCCGTCTGTCAGCCCTCAGATGGAAAGTCAACAGCCCCCACTATCAGGATTCCGGCAGTCGCCCTCATTAAATCATGAGCCTCGAGCCAAACTTCGAAAACTTCAAAGGATTTATTAGGAGCGAACATGTCGGTATGACTTATTACGAAGCCGATTCTGAGACACGTAACTCACTGTCACCCTTGACCCTGGTTTCCCTGCACCCCTCCGGGTGTATCATAATTCATATTCTCCAACAGAAACACGTTCGTAGCCAAGAGTCATCAATCACATTCTCCAATTAGAGAGGCAGAAAATCCGGTAGCTTAGTTACAATCTTTGCAAGATAAGAATGGAATGCACTTTCGGTTCCAAGCTGCCGCTCTGCTCTTTCAAATTCCTCCCCGCTTCCCTTCTGTTCACGGCAACCCTAAAACAGGCCTGGAAAGGTTTTATGAGTTGACACCCAGGTCTGGAGGTGGCTGATGAGGGAGAGGAGGAACAGCCAAGTCCAGCGCCTGATGCACAGATTTGCAGAAGGCAGAGGAGAGGAGAGCAGTGGAAATCTATGAGCCGGTCCTTGGGACGGAAGAGCCACCGCTGTTAGCGAAGCCCCACCGTAGCCCTGGGGATCAGAGGGAGGGGGCGGAGATGAATAGCAGTGGCAGACACCTGCCGGATGGGCTTGTTAGCATGCAGTGAAAAACTTTTTTGCCGGGGTTGCCGGCACTCCCAATTAAAGGAATCTTTTGAGTTGACTTCAGGCGGCTTGTCGTGTTTGGGGAGCTGGGTCAGAAAAACGGGGCTCTGCGGCATCAACTGGGGGGGTCCAGAGGCGTCCCTAGCCGTCCCTTCACCTTTGCAATGAATTTACAGGTAAGTCCTCATGACCACAATGGAGCCCAACATTTCGATCGCTAAGTGAATCCTTCTGAGTTTTTAACGCCTCATTTTTTTAACTTTTCTTGCCACCGTTGTTCAGTGAATCACTGCAGTGGTTAAGTCAGCCCCACGGTCGTTCATTGAATTGGGCTTCCCCGTTGACTTTGCTCGTCAGAGGGTCACCAAAAGGGGACTACGTAACCCTGGGACACTGCAACCGTCATCAATATGAGTCGGTGGCCAAGGGCCTGAATTTTGATCACGGCCGTCACTGTGAAAAATGGTCCTCGGTCACTTTTTTCAGTGCCGTTGTAATTTCAAACGGTCATTAAATGAATCATTGCAAGTTGAGGACTACCTGTAATTTCCTTCTATGTGGTTAATTAATCCATCATCCTTGACCATTTCTAAATAGTTCGGAAGTGGTGGGAACTTCATCCCTGGAAGCCTCCAAGAAGAGACTTGGACTGCCATCGGTCAGAAATGGTGGAGAGTCTCCTGCTTAGGTTGGGGGTTGGACTGAATGACCTCCAAGGTCCCTTCCAACTCTGTAAATCTAATCTAATCTAAATGTTGAACTTTTAAATCCTTTTATCTATTTTTAATGTTCCAAAATCAATAAAAATAAAAGCACACGGGACAAAATCCAGACCCTGGGCAGCCAGCACTTAACGGCGGTCGGAGCATCCCGTGACCACCGTTCCTAACCTTCCTTCAGGCTTTCCGACATGCAGAGTCAATGGGCGAAATTGGATTTGTTTTATGACCGTGGGGGGAAAAAAAAGGTCGTAAAAATCAGGCCTGATTCACTTAGTGATGGGGGTTCCAATTCCCCTTGTGGTCGTTGAGCCCTAGCTGTGCTACTTAACGTATACTCAGTCCTTACCAACAGACGCTTCCAGGGGTCTCTCACTGGGTCTGCCCCTTTTCTAGGTGGGACTGGCCATCTGTTACGACCTCCGTTTTCCGGAAATGGCCCTGACTCTGGCCCAGGCGGGAGCCGAGATTCTCACCTACCCGTCAGCCTTCACCGTGACAACTGGCGCCGCCCACTGGGAGGTAAGTCCCTCGGCCTTTACTATAGGTTGTCCTCGACTTACAACAGTTTGCTGTCAGGATTCTGGCCGTTACCCCCATTGAAATCACGAGTCTTGAGCCAAACTTCCAAAACTTCAAAAAGATTTATTGGGAGTTACCATGTCCGGCACGGCCTGGGTGGAGCCGACTCTGAGACACGTCACCCTTGACCCTGGTTTTCCCCCCACCCCTCTGGGTGTTTCATAATTCCTATTCTCCAATGGGACACCTCCATAGCCCAGAGTCATCAATCAGGCTCTCCAGGTAGAATTTTGCAAGGCAGAAACTTCGGTCACCTAGTTACTGTCTTTGAAAACATTTGTGGAATGCACTTTCGGTTTCCAAGCTGCTGCACTGCTTCCCTCTCCCTTAATGTTGGCAACTCTACATAAAGACCAGAGGAATATTTGATGACTTGACATTCATTTAGTGACTGCTTGAAGTTACAACGGCCCTGAAAAAAGTGACTTGGGGCCGTTTTCTTCACACTTACAACCATTGCAGCATTTCCCCAGGGGTCACGTGATCAAAAGCTGACACTTGGCAAGCGACTTGTGTTTAGGACGGTCGTGGGTCACGCGATCCTGTTTTGCGACCGTCTGACAGTGCCAATGGGGAGGCCTTAACGATTGTGTTCCTAAGTTTAGTTGACTTAATAACGGTGGCAAGAAAGGGTGTAAAATGGGGCAAATGATCATTCAAGGAATGTCTCCCTTAGTGACAGAACTTTGGGGGCTCAGTTATGGCCGTACGTTGAGGACTGCCTGTTATTAGGCCCGCAGTTTCCTCCTCTCCCTCTCTTTCTTTCTATTATCAGTAGAACAGAAGTTGCCACCAGAAATTGTGGGCCGGAAGCTTTTGGAGAAGAATCTAGACGGCCACTTACCTGCAATGGCGTAGGGTCTCCTGCTTGGGAGTGGGGTTGGACTAGATGACCTACAAGGCCCCTCCCAACTCTTGTTCATCTCATCTGAGAAAACCTCCAAACCTTCTCTCTGTTCCCCTCCCCAGGTCCTCCTGCGAGCCCGTGCCGTGGAAACCCAGTCCTACGTGGTGGCCGCAGCCCAGACGGGCCAGCACCACCCGTCCCGGAGCTCCTTCGGCCACAGCATGGTGGTCGACCCCTGGGGCAGCATCGTGGCCCAGTGCCGGGAAGGGCCCGGCTTGTGCTTTGCCGAAATCGACCTGCCTTACCTGCACCGCCTCCGCCAGGAGATGCCCGTCTTTGCCCACCGCCGGCCTCGCTTCTACAGCCGGGCGGCTGCTGAGTGGGGCTTGGGGCTCCCGTGATGGGCTCAGCTGGCCCAGGGAGGGGGCTTGGCTGCTGCAGCTGGACTCTGCAGGGACTCTGGCCGTCCAGGAGCCGCTGCTGCTGCCCGGAGGGGCTGAGGGGGAAGGAGAGAAACCAACTGCGGACAGCTCCGGCGCTGGTGGGGGGGGGAAGGCATTTCGGCACCATCCCCACCCTGGGATTGCATCGGATGTTTGCTTTTTGGCCGTTCAGACCTTTGGGGTTCAGACTGACATGGGGGGGGCAAGTCGGTCACTTTCCCTGCAGAGGGGCTTCCTTCCGGAAATAAATTCGTTTTTCAGCCCCACGTAGTCTTTCTTTCTTCACTTTCATCCAGTTTTTTTCTTTTTTCTTTTCTTAAGCAGCTCACGAGACTCTCTATTTCTGTATATATCAGAGATGTCCAACCTTGGCAACTATTAAGACTTGTGGACTTCAACTCCCAGAATTCCTGGCTGGGGAATTCTGGGAATTGGGAGCCCACCAGTTGTCAAGTGGCCACAGTTGGAGACCCCTCGCCCACTTTTGAGGTGGAAAATGCTCATTTCTTG